TGCCGCTAAAGAAAATGACCAACAATACATTTTATCTGTAGTTGAAGGCATACAATTGCGTTCAAAATATCAATAGTTGAAGCCATAAAATTGTGTTCAAAATATTTAGATTTTGGCATTAAACAACCCATAGAGATGTTGATATGCCGCTAAACAACATGACCAACAATACATTTTATCTGTAGTTGAAGGCATACAATCGCGTTCAAAATATCAATAGTTGAAACTATAAAATTGTGTTCAAAATATTTAGATTTCGGCATTAAATAACCCATAGAGATGTTGATATGCCGCTAAACAAAATCAACCAAACAAACAACCAACATGAAGGAACGTTTTCATAACATTAATCTATATGATATACGACAATTTGTTAAAGAAATCAAACAGTATTCCTAAATATAACATCAAGAAAATTACAACATAAAACGCACATATCACCGCTTGTAGTAATTATGTCAACACAAACATATATATGCACAAAAGCTGAGTATCATCTACCATGTAATTCAACTGTGAAAAGTGGATAATATATCATACTTTTATTATTTCAAATCTCCCAATAAATTTACATTTTGGCATTAAATGACCCATAAGGTGTTGATATGCCGTTAAACAAACAATACACACGGTGTATATACATTATACAGACAGGAAAACATTATGTGTATATATATATATGTACAGGTGTAATTATGTATGTACCATATATAATATACATTTAATTCTCTTTTTGCATGGTTTTGAAATAACACAGTCTAACAAAAAGAACCGATTATTTTTTGCACTATTTTTTGTTTACTTTAACACGGTTTAAACATCTGTCCTTATGTGACCACCAATTTTATTGCAAGTGGCAAGTAAACAATTATAATTTACAAAATGTCGAAACTACATATCATGCTTAAGTAACAATTTAGCGAAGTAAAATAGAATCCAATCTATTTTTTCCCTATAGTGACCCCCCTTTTTCCAGTAAGAGCGTGACCGATGCACTGTACATAACTCAAAAAATAATATTAATCCATCAGAGGAATTCAGCGACAGTCATTAGCATCTAGAAGGCCTCCAAATAACCAATAAACTTGGAAATCATTTTCTTACGAATAATAACAATGTTGCAATTCCAACGTGATTTGAAAATGATTATGGCACATTATGAAGTATCATATAAAGAACTAACAAAAACAAAATCACCGCCTCTGATAACCGAATTCGTATTCAAAACCAGTGAAACGAAAGAAAAACAAGATTTTAATTTTATTGAAGATACACATGAAGATATATCGCCATTAAATATTTCCAGTGACAAGAATGATTTTGCGCCACTAAAAAACAACAGAAAACTGACACGTTTATTTTCTAGTAATGACACTGAGTGATTATGTTATATATATATATATGTGTGTGTGTGTGTGTGTGTGTGTGTGTGTGTGTGTGTGTGTGTGTGTGTATAAATAAGAAATTCAATTTATTTTTACCTGAAAATTAACATTTTTTATTAAATATATTTGGATGGAACCTAGCTCTAATTTTCATATGTAGACTGTATATTTTTTTACAAAATTTTTTAATTTTGCATGGTAGTCTCTGGAATGTATCCCCTGTGAAAAAAAAGAGAAATTTTTTCATATATATATATATATATATATATATATATATATATATATATATATATATATATATATATATCTCAAAATTCTCTCTCTCTCTCTTTATATACCTATATATATATATATATATATATATATATATATATATAGAAAAGAAATTGAAAAAAATGAAACAATTTATTTCATTAAAACATTCTTTACTAATATATATATATATATATATATATATATATATATATATAAATATATATAAATTAGTAACAGAATTTTTTTAAAAATTGTAAAGAAATAAAATTAAATGATAATACTATTGCATATATATTCAGTCTTAAGTTCTTAAATTAATGGCCTTTTAGGCTTCCTCCATGTGAACAGCAGTTCACTTTTGAATGATAAGAATTAAATGACACAGTGAAAATTAATCAAAGTTTTAGAGATTTTTAGGTGGGGCATGGCCAAACAAAGATTGTGTACTGAATATCAATATTTAAAAATATATGGAATATATATATATATATATATATATATATATTGTTACGAAATTGTAGCATATAGATGAACCACGGGTTTTATAAAAAAAGGAAAACATGGGATCCTTTCTCGGTCTTCACTCAGAAATGGAAGGACACAAGGAGTCAACGAAGAACAAACACAAGACGATGGATTTCAAAAATAAAACATTTATTTATAAATACATAAACAGATAAAAAAAAAAAAAAAAAATCATTCATTTAACAAAAAGGGAAAATTAAAGGACAGAAGGCGCGAGCGAATAGATAATTTATATACATATATAAAAAAAAAAGATAGAAGCTTTTGAGAATCAACTTATCTGTCATTCGAGTTGATATTTTTACACAAATTTTTTGATTCGCCGAAGCGAGAGTTCTTATTTTTACAACAAATTTTGGTCGGTCGGCAATTTTCCTGGGTTCTAGTTTAAAAAAGAAGTGTTAAAGGTCCACGCATCTCGTACAGGCGTTTCGTTGGGTCGATCCAGTTTCATAGCAGTCCTTTCATTTCTAGTCTTCTTCATCTCAGTGGGCAATCTATTTGGAATCGGGACGATTTTGCCCAGCGACGTTCATCTGCCACTGGTCAGACGGAAACTGAAAATCCTTTTTTTAGATTTTTGCTGTCCCCAAAGACAGTCACGTGGGTTCTCTTCGTCCTTGACCGGGTACGCAGGAGGATTTAAGCGCAATAAAAAAGTGTAAAAAAATGATGGCCAAAATTTCAATTTATTTGAAAAGGGTTGATCACGTGAAAAAAAGCAGGAGATCCTGATGGTGCCTGGAATTTTTTTTGGTCAACTGTCTGATGAAGCTGGGAAATTTTGGAACCAGGTCATTCTTCGCGTCGGGTAAAATTCAAAGTTCACAGGCCCTTTTTTTGTGGGTGTGTTTTTAGGTAAAGAAAAAAGAATTTTGAATTGAAGAAAGAAAATGGTATGTTTGATCATGTTGGAACATATTCGCTCGCAAGTTGAAAGCATCGGATTTTATCTATTTTTATTTATTTATTTTTTTTTATAGCTAACTAATTTCGACTAGAATTTGGGATTTTTTTGGGGGTATTTTTAGCCTTGGAAAAATATGGTTAATGAAATCGTGGCTACGAACTATATATATATATATATATATATATATATATATATAAATCAAATTCTTTTTGAAAAATTCATTAGGGCCGAACTATTTGCAAAATCTCAGCAAATATAAATTTTAAAAAAAATATCTTTTCACAACCACTTCATTCATATACATACAGGTGTAAATAGGTTTGTCTATTGCCCGGTTCACACTCCTTCCTCCGTCTTCTGAACAGGAGTAGAAGTTTATGCATTGTTTCCTGTTTAAGATTAGTTTTCTGCTCCCTTCTAAAGTCTTATTTTCTTTCACTCCCAGTAACCTCTTGTGTCTTAGTTGCATTATCAATTTTTGTTAAACAAAATTTGAAACGTATATGTATATATATATATATATATATATATATATATTGTGTGTGTGTGTGTGTGTGTGTGTGTGTGTGTGTGTGTGTGTGTGTGTGTGTAATGTTATAGAGGGATAACTTAAAAAATCATTTAATAGATCATTTAACTGGCAACAAGGTCTGTTTAATTTATAGTTAATTTAATAGATGTAACTATAAGTTCTGTTAAATTTTTCCTTTTCTTTGGAAAATTTAATTGCTTGTTAACCTTTCTTTGACTCCATTTTTTCAACTAGCTTTGATCTTCAAAAATGGAAAAGCAATGTCAATCGTTATCTATTAAAAATGATATATCTTCTATTGTTCTCGTTCCTTAATAGTGAATCTGTTTTCTAATTCTTCCACAATTTATATTTGAATTGTCTTAGTGGCTTTTAATGCCTTGTTTGGATTGATTTCTATTAAAAAAAAAAAAGAATCTTATGGATAGCTCTAGACCAGATGTGTCAGGAATATTCAAAGCAAGGACGGATGGTAGACTTATAAATATATCAGGTAGATTCTGGAGAGAAAAATTATCTGGCACGATACAGTGAGCCAAATTTCGGAGCAGCAAACCTAGCAATTGATTCAATATAATCTGTCCACCATTACTATGTGTTGTAGAGTGAACGAAAATTTTTCTTCCTCCGTATGAGTTCGAATACCTCGTCGCCAAGTGTTGTAGAGTAGTTTCACAGTGGAGGTTTGTATTTGTACTAAGTCGGTCCTAAAATAGGTTCGACGTACAAAACGTGAGGAACTTGATATAATAGGTAATAACGCAGAGAAATCTAGTGGTGGTAGCTGATACTTTTAGTATCCGACTAACGGCCGCCCGATATCGACTGACTGGCCAACTCCTGAGCGACTTAGCAACTGCTACTACTCCTACTTATTATAGGTGGGAGAGTCTATTAACAATAGAATAGGTGTGTTCCACTATAACATTATGGTTACTCACATCCTGCAAGGACACAGTACATAAAAGAAGATTTGAGTCGTCAACTTCAAATGTCGACATTCAAATATACTTAACACTTAGCTAATATCGATAGCTTGTCACAAGCAGTTGTCAAAATATTCACCATTTGTTGGGTTTTACCATCACCTTCGCGTGAACGTCTCAACAGATGGTCCAGTGGGTGTATCAGTTTAAGGCACATCAGATTCGTACGTATATTTTGACCTTGTGTAAATCAATATTTATTAAGCTGGGCCTAATTTCGCATGAGGGTAATTGAAGTAAAAAAAAAAACCGTGTTATCTTTGGCTTACCTACCTTGAAAATCAACATCGAGGCGTTTGCTCGAGACCGAATCAGGGCTACAGACGCCAGTGGTAAAGGCATATGCCGGTTGGCAGAAGTGCGAAAGAAAAATGGTAATGGTTTCTAGGTTTAAACTATTAATTCCCTACGACTATATCACGTTGAAACGTTAGTTCCCGTCTGATCACTGAAGTTAAGCAACGTCGAGCCTGGTCAGTACCTAGATGGACGACTGTTTGGGAATACCAGATGCTGTAAGCTTGTATTTGTGTGTGGTGTAAAGGATAATAACACGGAATTGTTAATCGAAGTGTCAAGTTTCAATTCTCGTTGGGTTCATAAGGTGTGAATCAACATCTTCTCTCAGTTATGACTTAATTAGTAAGATGCGTATCACTAAGCCATTATTATCTAAAAAAAAAAAGAAGAAAAAATTCTTACAATCTAAAAATATTTTCTGGTTTTAAATAACCTGCAAAGGGTTGATAAGCCGTAGAAAATCGATCAGATCCGCAATCCTGAATTTTGGATTCCCAATTTTTCATTACTGTGATTGTTTTCAGCGATCATTTTTTACGTATTTTTTTGCGACGATTATTTTATGTACGATGACAATTTAAATAACTTGGAAATAATTTTGGGAATAATCGAAATTAATTGCGAAATCCAGTGAAAGTCACCAATGAAACAAAAATAATTGTTTATAAGGAAAGTAAGGGCCTAGGTACATCAAGCTGTCTTTAAATTAAATGGCGGCAGAAGAATTATCGTTGAACTTTTAAAAGGTAAGCTTAAATACTGATACTATACTTAAATGCGGCGATCAATTTTGAGTTCTTATGTAGTTTATTGATGCCTATCGCATCTACTCCCCGCCTACCTATTGTGATGAAGGGCGGCTTTTAAGCTAGTACTTAATATGCCTGAAAAACATTTTTCACAAAGAGAAAGGAAAAATAAAACTAAAAGCCAACAAAACATATATAGATGTTTTAGGAATACGTTATTCAAACGCACTTAACAATTAGCTCATATCGAAGACTTATTAGAAAGGGTTGTCTAGATATTCAGGTCTCAACACATGGCCCAATGGGTGTAGACATTATGATAGACGACAGTGCGGTGTGCCAAATCTTCTTCGTCTATGTAAATTTCACAAGAAAGGTCACTGATCGGGAGATTGGCGGTTTTGAGGAACGTGGAATTGAGTTTTATTGGCCATCCATTGAAACATCTTGAACATCTTTTGGCAAATTACAGTAATTATAGATCGCTAGGGTGTATACAACGCAGTTTTTTAAAAGCAGTGAAATTCAATGGGAAAAAATTATTTTCATGTATAAAACGCAGCTGATTTTAAAGAAATTAGAATGACCAAAAGTTGTAAAAGGGGAAGAGAAAAATGAAAACAAAACGGGCATTTTGGTTACTTTTGTGATTCGTAAACATTACGAAAACATCAAAATTTGATTGTTTGCAAAACCACCTGGTGAAACTGCTTTTCAATAAAAATTGTTTTTGATGATTTTATTTTGAAATTAAGCATTATTTTGTATGTTTTTTTTATCGTAAATTAAATAAGTTGAATAATAATGATGTTTTGATCGCGATCGCGTAATCCCTGACTCATCAGAGTCGTAGGGACATTACATCTACTGCAGCCACAGTAGAAGTGATGTTTCTTGGGCAAGATAGCTTGACAGAGCTCAACCCTCTCCAGGTTGGCTTTGAATTCAGAATTTCCTTCTCCTAGACCAGTTGCCACCCAAGGCTACAAAACCAATATGTCCTGTTATTTACCCATAGCTTTCCGATTCGAACTCGCCTCTTCGATTACTGAATCCGAGCCGCTATCCATTACTTCACCATGCTTACTTCTCAACGAAATCCAGAAAAGTACGGAAATATACGAAATATTTCGCTATTTTAATTCATTTCACACAAAACAAGGTAATAAAGCCACTAAGACGGTTGTTGAGGGTGAAAGAATATAAGAACATTATTAAGGAGAGAGAACAATAAAAGAACATGAATTAAGCAGAAGACAGTGATTGATATTGCATCAGAATATTTGAAGATCAAAGCTGAGTGAAAATCAAGTCTACTAATGCTAATGGATATAAAGTCATCATAGTTAATGTCCGGATTGTAATAATAATTATTATGACATTTATTGCTGCTCTTATTGTCCATATAGTCCTAACAATGCAGCTATTTCATTAATTGTCCGGGCAGTACTTAAAATAAACACTGTTGCTATTTTAGATATTGTCCGAGGAGTTATGATAATGGATATACCAGCCGCTTCTTTACTGTCCAAATATTAATGACAATGGATATAGCAGCCGTTTCCTTTATTGTTCAGATATTATTGACAATGGCTATTTCGGCTGTTTCCTTTATTGTCCGGATATTAGTGACATTAGGTATGTCAACTACTTCTCTTATGCTCGGATTTCTGCTATTGTGCATTTCGGATAATAGAGAGAGCAACCATTTCCCTTGTTATCCGAATAGTACTAACAATGGATATAGCAGCAATTTTCCTTATCGTCCGGATAGTAGTGAAAATGGATATAGAAACTATTTGCCTTATTGTCAAGACACTACTGACAATGTATATAGCAGCCATTTTCCTTATTATCCAGGCACTACTGAAAATGGATATTGCAGCCAGTTTACTTATTTTCCAGACACTACTGACAATGGGTATTGCAGCCAGTTTATTTATTGTCTAGATAATACGGACAATGAATATAGCAACTAATTTCCTTTTTGTTCAGACACTACTGACAATGTATATAGTAGTCATTTTCTATATTGTTCAGACGCTACTGACAATGATGTAGCATCAATTTTCCTTATTATTCAAACACTACAGACAATGTATATAGCAGCCATTTTCCTTATTGTCCAGACAACAGTAACAATGTATATAGCAGCCATTTTCCTTATTGTCCAGATAGTACTGACAATGTATATAGCAGCCATTTTCCTTATTGTCCAGATAGTAAGGGTAATAAATATGGTAGCCTTTTTTTTTTCTTTTGTCAAAATTGTCCTTTCTTTTCTGTCAGCTTTTGAAACGTGACGAAGCAGAACATTCAGGTAACATTAAAATAATTTATCGCGAGATTTGGGGGAGGTCGCGTCAGATAAAATAGCGAAATGAGCGCCATACAATGTTAAACATTTCCACATCGTTTAATTGCAGGAATGTGGTTGTTTATCGCCAAATTTCACATGTCGGCGGCTGTGCGCGGATCAGGTGAACGTTTTGCAGTCTAAATAACCTATCATCGCGGAGAGCAAGCGTTTGCGTAATTTTAAAATCATTTCTATATTCAACATCTAAATGTGCATCTCTCACTTTCTCTTTCTCTCTCATATATGTGTCTGTTAGTTTATCTCTTTCTTCTCTCTCTATATTTCTATATAAATATATGTCTTCATTATCTCTTTATATAACTTCCCTCTCTCTCTCTCTATATATATATATATATATATATATATATATATATATATATATATATATATATATATATAGGATTAATACAAAATATAAAATTTGTCACTTAGCTGATTGACGCTAGATTCAGCATACCGACTTTAAAGTTTCGTAGACGAAACATTTTGTAATCGTTCGGTCCACTTGTCAGGAGGTTTCAGCAATTGACTGCCGATTTTCTCATTTTCGTTATTTTTTATATTAAGGTAAAAAAATAATTTATGCACTTTTTATTCGTGTTACGTTTATTGTTTGTGTATGTATGTATGCGTGTGTGTTCGCGCGCACGCGCTCAGAATGTCCCCTTATACTCTCTCCTTATTACTTTTCTTTCTTTTAAGTAGTGTGTCATACACACACACATACACACACATATATATCTGGGAAGCAACCTTTCTTTTAAACATATTTCTTTAAATATGACAGTCAAGAAAAATTTTATTAATTTTTTTAATACCACTGGAATTTTTTCTTTCATAATTTACGATATATATATATATATATATATATATGTGTGTGTGTGTGTGTGTGTGTGTGTGTGTGTGTGTGTGTGTGTGTGTTAATTTTTAGTGGATACTAATATTTCATTTCTGGAGAATTCAAATTAGTAGAATCTTGTTAAGAAAGAATCATTAGTGGCAACTTTGGAAAAATGCAACTTTTTTGTCAAATTTATAATTTTTTATGATGGAGAACGCAATTTTTCAGTAGCAACTTATGAAACCAACTTATGGCGAAAGCAAATTCTGAAGGGAGTGACTTATTGCAATTTTGGGAAAGAAGAAATTTATCAGAGGCAACATCTGAAGAAAGCAACTTATGAAAGCAAACTTCTGGGGAATGTAGTTTATCAATAGCAACTTATGCAAAAAGCAATTTATAAAAGGCAGCTTATAGAGAATGCGAATTCTCAAGGAAACAACTTATCCGTTTGTAAAAAGCACAGTTTGTGCCAAATTTCTAAATGTTTCCTTTTCAATAAAGAAACTGTTAAAAGGTAATCTCTTCACAAAACAATTCTGAATAAAGTTACTTTTTCAAAGCAACTTATAAACCGTGTGGAACTGCTCATCTATTCGTGAGAGCGTTGTAAATATAAAAATAATATAAACACTGCACATGTTAAGTAGCACTTAACCTCAGAATTTGTGAAAAAAAAAAAGGAACATACAGGGTGTCCCATAATAGGGGGCAGTAAGTATCTTGGATTATAAAAATGACAGACTACCAAATATATTTATTACATAACCGGTATACAAGAGTACAACATATTATCTAAGATTTTGCTCTTCTCTACAGGTATCTGATATCTCTGGCGGTGTAGCCTCATAATGTCTGTGTTTGAAATGAGAGAGCGAGCTCGTGTATGTTCTCTTTGTAGTAATGACCATCCCAGAGATGTAATATTCAAATCTTAGATAATATGTTGAAATCTTGTATATCAGTTACGTAATAAATATATTTGTCACTTGCTATCATTTTTATAATCCAAGATACTTGCATTGAAAATGTGTCCAATCATTATGGGACACCCTATATTTACTACCTTGTACTACCCTAGGTCTCGGGTAATGGACTCTCCGAAACAGAAAACAAAAGACGATACTATTACTACTACTACTACTACTAATAATAATAATAATAACAATAAGGATAATGATAATAATTGTTTCTTCTGTGGGTTATGCAACTTCAAGACGTAAGCGACCATGATTCTCCTCATTTTCCTGTTGTATGAAGCCCTTAGTATA